ACCGCGCACATTAAGATAATATTTAAAAATGAACCATTTCCAAATTTATTTTCAAATTTGACAAAAATGGACAACGGGGTAATAGATAAGTAAAGAAAATAGTGACAATTACAGTGATAAATATTATATAAAAAAGTAGTTGTATGGCGATAAGAAACATCAGTAAAAAAGTCAGAAGTCAATTCTTTTTTGTAACTTAACCTAATTACATATAAAAAAATATTTTAAGAAAAGAAAGAAATAGAACTTTCTTTAAACGCCTTGTTTAAAATTGCTATCGTAATAAAGAATAGGCTTTTTCATGACCGTGAGAATTTCATGAACAATTTAATAAAAATACGAAAGAAACGATAATAATTTAAACTTCATAATAAATTTTAAATATTAAACATTAAGTTGTATTTAGAATATTTCTTTTAAATGTTAGAATAATTTCGTAGCTAATTATGAAACTTCGGAAATGTATTGAATATTTAAAATACTATGTGTATAGCACAAATAGAAATTATTTTATTACCATACCAATACGAATAAATTGTTAACGTTAATCTGAACTTTAAGGGGTCTTGTACCTTTTAAAATCTCAAAAAAATCCTTTTTTTATGATGTAATTTGATAGAGTTAACTCATGTGCGTCGAATCCAACCAACCNACACACACTACTGTTTTCTACACTCACACATATTTTTGGAATTATTGCTATGAAAATAAGTGAGTTAGAATGATTTAATCAGACATCACATTTTTCATAAAATATAGCTTTTTAAAGGTACGAGCCCCCTTAAAATATTATCTAATGCTCTTGTATACTAACGATAAATAAAATAATTTTTCTTCCTATTTTCATTAAAAAATATTGAATAATTGCTTTGGAAGGTTTAATGCCTACTTAATAAGTTCAAAAAGAAACATCTAAACGTTAAGTTAATTATTTTATTCAGAAATGACGTGTAGAATTTTAAAAGACGTAACAAATCTAAAAACTGTATTTTTTACATGCATAGAAAGTACGTTTCTTAATATAAAAAAGGGAATTGAATTTTGTTCAGGAGTGCAAGATTTTTCAAAATAATGCATAGTTTGCGTGTTTCTTTCTCAAAATGCAATTCTTTAAAAATATGTAAGGAAAAAAACCAAAAAAGTGATCTAAAATAAAAAAAAAGGAGAAAAAAAACTACAGTACGGCTATTGTAACAAAAGTAATGGTTTCTTGTTTTTGTTCTTCAAAGTTGCTTCAAGGGGAATAACTTGTAGACTTCTTTTTTTGTTTTCAAAATTGGATTCCTTCAAATTGATGTTTCGCGTGTTGACTAAATTGATAACTGGAGAATATTTTTTTCTTAAATATATAACTCTGAAAAGTTGAAATTTGAGAAAAATGATTGTAGATATAGTGAGAAATTTTATTGAAGGAATCGTTTTACAATAAAAAAAAATAGTCACAGTTATTGATAAAAACTATCAGCTCAAATTATTATTTCAATTAGCTGTCGTGAAACTGTTAACTTTAAAAAAACGATTCCATTAAATGCTCCAATATTTTTTACCGTGTTCAAGAAATTATAGATTAACTGACAAAAAACAGTTATGAATTTGCAATTACTTTTAAGACATTTTAAAAGTACACAATGCACATTTTTTGTTACCTTGCTTTAATAATAGTTAAATATATGTGTAAAAATAAAATTTCTTTTTAAATGGTGTAATACTTTTTGTCGAAGTTTTATCATAAGACTAGTTTAAATTACGAAATTTGAAATAACAAATTAAATAATATGGCATGTAATATTTTATTGAATTATAATCTGTCCAATATGATTCAAGGAATTTTGCCATCTATCTGACAGCAGCATGATTCCACGCTCATAAAAGTTCTTTACAGGCAAAAAGCTATTCAAGGTCATTTTTTTACCTCCCTTTTTAAAAAAAAAACGGTTTCACAGTCCAAAAAACATTTGCAGAGCTCCGTACATTGCTGTATGCCAACCCATTTCTCGTTCTCAGTGCTGACGCACTTCGAAAATGGATTATTTCCTTAAGGTTTCAGAAGCAAATTAATGATGCAAACGCGAAGGCGCAGATTTGCGTAAAAACATGAGGAACCCATAAGTCGAGTTTTGAGGTTAAACCTAGGCGTTTCAAATGATAATTAAACTATCAAATTCGATAAATTTAATCTCTCGATATCAAGAGTTTTTTTTTTCTTCCGGTTTGAGTCCGATCATGGCTGTATTGTGTGTTCATCAGTTTTATCCAGCTTTCCAGAACGTGGTGCATCCTTAATTGCCGCGTTTAAATTTTACAAACCAGGCTTGCTGCCAAAAAATCTCTTCCATACACATCGGATAATTTTTTTCCCTTTTTTGGATTCCATTTTTACCTCCTTTTCGATAGCAAAAAAATTAAAATATGCGAAATATGCTGCTTTTGACTTTCCACATTTAAAAAGGCACCAACTAAACACTACAGCATAGAATCAATCGAAATTTTTACACGTCAGCTGTCAAATGTATAACGATTTTTTGGCTTAAGGCTGAAGTTGGCTGTTTAAAAGTTTTCTAAGAAAAAACTGAAATTACTTCCCGAACTACCCAATATTTTTAAATATAAACTGACTATTTATATAATCTGCTTTTCCATAATTTTTTGCATACTTCTTATTTTTCAAATAGTTTCTTAATTTGCCTCTAAAAAGTTGAAAAAAGAAGAAAAAAATTATTTACATTATACAGATGAAACAGAATATTATATTAACAAAAATGTTTACTGCGACTACATTTGTAATGGGAATAATAAGACCAAATTTATCATTTAAATTATTTAAGCAGTAGCATCGACACTAAAAAAGGGTATTTTTTCAATTATATTCACGTTACCCTTTTTTGGAAATTTTTCTTACTGTTTCAATTCATCTGCAAGATTTAAACAATAATCTCTAAAATTGCAACGAAATCTGCAGTTATTTAGAAATAATCATTATCAGCTATTTTTAAAGGTCATCTCTTACGCCAGTTGCATTTTTTGATTATAAGCGTGGCTTCTTCAATTTAATTAATGTTACAAAACAATGCACAGTTTAAGTAGATGTATCTGGAAACAGTTTAAACCATTAAAATTTTCCAAATATTAAATTTTTTTAACAATCCATAATTAAATAAATTATTTAACAATAATTACCTATTAAAATTATGTTAATTGCCTTCTAATTAATACTGATAGAAATACACTACTGATAAAAATAAATTTATTTATAATTAAATGAACGTTATATAAGTGTAAAACACATCTACTTTTTTTCACAATAAATCGTGTGTGTTAGGAAATATATTTAAAGTAAATTTTAACTTGAATATTCAAAATGATTTAGTTGATCCAAATGACTTTCTTTCATTTTCTACAATACTGCATAAATAAATTGAATATGCAAAACATTTTTCAATAATTTATAGCTCCTCTCTGTCTATATTCATTAGTTAGATTTTTTCCCTATTTACCTCTCCTTGTTTCATTCTCATTTACATTTGATGAAAACAACTGAGATGAACTGAACTAAGAAATTAAAAAAAAGTAATTTTAACATTGAGACATGTTTTCGTCTTTTTCGCCATATACTGTTAGAAGTTTATCTGTAAAAATGATTAAATAGCGATTGATTTAATTATTATCTTATTATATTCAAACAAAACAATTAAATAACCATAAAATGATAATATTCAAACTGTTATAGGTGAGAAAAACAATTTTGATTGATTCTTTTTTCTTAATATGGTTTAACAACCAGGATTTTATCTACGCCAACTAGGTCCACCTTAAAAAGCTATTTAGTTCCATGCAGCAGAGTGAATGCTGTAGCCGAGAAGGCTATTCAGTCAATCGTAATATCGGTGGAAGAGTAGTTTGAATCCCAGCATGGATACAAAAATATTTCCTCCACTTCTTTAGTACGTGAACAGTTTCTAATTTCCTGCACTTTTCAATTGGTGAACCTGGTTGATTGAAATCAAAGCTATTTTTCAGGCATAAATTGCGCATCACTCACAGAGCTCTAATATCCATTCAAGTTTCCTTTTTATGTTTTACAAACTATGCTAGTTGTAAATGGTTAACAAACCATCTATTGCATTTACGGTTTATTAACCACACTAGTAAAAAATGGTTTTGAGACCTTAAAGTTAAGGAAATGTTTCTAGACATAAACTTTATAGTAAATCGGATGGAGAGACTGCTGTCGGTTATTTTACCGTAATTTCAGAAAGAAAATTCTTTCAGCGTAATGAAAATTTATCTATTTGAGGTTACTCAACATTAAACGGCCTATGTTCTTTTACACGCTCGAGGTTTAATTTTTAATTTTATTTAAAAGCATTTTATTCATTCTAAATGTTCCCAAGAAAAAAATAATGGCTAAGTCATTTTTTTCTCCAGTCTAACACATCTAATAATGAGGGGAAATTTTTTATCGCTAAAGTATTCATTTAGCTACGAAATGGGTGTAAAAATATAACACAGGGATGAAATTTATAAATTTAATTACCATAAAAATATTTAGGTGAGTACTAATGTCGTATTTATTTAAAATAAATGCTAACACTGAAGTTATTGAGGTAATGAATTTTACTTGTTTTGAAAAATAGACATTTTCTGAAGATGTAACATTGTCATTCACTGTCATCGGACTAAATAACTGGTAGATATATGTGACAAGATTGGCGTTAAATCCATCCTGGATGAAAGTTCTCTGTATTATCCGACGACACGTTGCCAGCTCAGACGACGAGTACTGTTTAGGTTGGTTGGTGTATGACAGTTAATTAGAACTAAATAACAGAGCCACCTATTTTTTTCAGGAAAAGGAGGAATGCTTTCAAGAGATCTTTCAATTGATAAATTTCTTGGCGAACATATGTATCTAAAAACGTTTTACTGTGGGTTTAAAGCACTATTATTATTATATGCATGATTTGATGTTTATCGTTAAATAGAAAAGAATAAAACTCTACCTTTAGCAGCATTGAGTTTGCTCCCAATCATCTGTTTCGCCACAAACGCAGCCATGACTGCTCAATTAGATGTTGTCTATTAGTTGAGAAGATTAAGGTAGACGATGAGCGTAGACCAAAAGAAGCAAAAACGGGACAGGAGGGGCCACACGAACTACAAGTTACGTTCTAGAGCTGAAATAAATTCAAATTGTTAAATAAGTCTTACACATTTTCTTATATAAAATAAACTATGAAAAATTATGTATACATTAACATGTTAAAATAAATTAAATTTAAGTTATTTTAAATTCTTTAATTAAAATTCTCATTTTCTGTTAAGAAGTATTAATGGGTAAATGATTTTATTATCTTCCTTAGAAAATTAAACCGTTGAAAGGGAAAAATTAATTTAATAAACCATTAGTAAACGCATCTCTTTCTCTAGAAAAAACACTTGTAATTAGAAAGGTTTTGATGTTATTTAGAACTGAATGATGAATGGCAAATTGTATTCTTAATTTGAGATTTAAATTTGCGTATACTCTATGAAAAAGTAAAATTAATGAATAAACTTCAAAAGAATAAAATAAACCAATGCAAATTTAATGCAGATTTAAAATGCAGAACCAATTTTTTTCATTTATTTAAATATTAAGAGCAACGAAACTGATAATAATTCAATGAATAAGTATAGCTTAACAGTGCTCATATATAGTCTAAAATTGCAGTAACAAAACATAATGTACTCCAAAGAATAAGCGAATTGATAATATGCAAAAATTTATAACATGAGAAAACGATAATATACGAAAATTTATTTCAACATTTTACTGTTTTGGGAAAACAACAGTTTACGAATAAAACAGATTATTGAATTAACAAAATTAATCCGTATACATATGCGTATCCGTATACTACGACTGCAAAGTGTAATCGGTATTAACAAATCTGATTTGTGTTAGAATACCTGATCAGTATAAGATAATGCGATGATTTTCGTCTGCAAATAGTTAAGAAAACATAATAACTATAAAAACAGTCTATATTCGTTTTAAATTGAAACTTAAAATACTATAAAAATTACATTTAAAAACTAATAGCAATTTTCACGAAAAGAATCGTTAAAATCTAATACAAGTATTGATAAAATAATCAAAGTATTGATAAAAATTACTTAAAATCTAAATTTGCCAACGTCTTTATAGTGTATGATATGCAGTAAAAGTATAAAAGTTCATTGAATTCATTTAAAACGTAAGGGATTGATTTAAATGTAAGGAATTTCAGTATTAAGAGATAAGTAGCATAGTGACTAACAAATTTCAAGCAGCAAACCAGATATTTCAATTTATGTGCTTGATAGACACAATTTCAACTTATTTTTGTTTACATACATTCAGCCAAACTCTATTTGAAATTAACTGCGGAGTACGTTAAATAAACATTCAATGCAACATTTAAAGATTCAACATAAGAGATTGAAAAATCTCGAAAGCAAATTAAAATTAAGAAATGTTTCGAATTCCGAAGGCTCTGGAAATAAAATTAAAAATGCTCTCGGCTGTTTACTTACAAATTTAATTATTCAAAGAGACAGCGTGAGTTCAGAAATATCACATTAAAATATTTTAAATGCCAGCCTCTTTGAAAAGGTCTTACTCGGTAAATTTATATCCCAGCACTAAAAGCCTTGAAGTCTCGTGATGTTTACCCAAATATGCGAGAACGTGATATTTAATCTAATTGAAGAAGGTGCTAAAAAGAACCTTGGTGACGCAAACATAAGGCATAGTTGTCGTTGCAAACCAATTATCTGGCTCGCGACAAAATAAAACATCCGAAGACATCTGCTAAGTGCAATTTAAATCCTGCTGCTTAGAGACCCTAAGGAAGGAGAAACCTTCAATTTCCTTCTTCTGCGACTCACCTTCTATAACATATTTATTCGAAAGCAAACCGCCTTTCTAATAATTGGAAAATTCCTTTCTGCCTTCATTCCTCCAGATCTTCTGTAATAAGTGGAAAAGAGGTGAAGATGGTATAGTGAAGTAACTCACGACGAAGAGAAGATACGAGGCATGAATTCGATTGGGCGTCGTTTGTCATTTTAATGTTCACAAAATTGCGACAGAAATGGAAATATTTTAAGCAAATAGGGGAGAAATAGATAATAGAAGAGAGAGAAAAATTAATATATGTTTGCCTTTTTATGCAGGCTAATATAAACTACTGTGAAATTGATTCTGTTGTAATCAAGGTTTTTAAGCTTGATATTTTAATGGAATGATAATATTCTAATTTAAGAAAATAGATGTGCATTTTTTTTTAAAAATCAACTAAAGGGATATTCTAGAATCTTTAAACGCGTCTTACATCTTACTCGATTAAAAATGCTTCATTCACGTCAGGCAAATCTTGAGAATGGGTGCCCGTTTTTGAGCTTGAAATATGCCGACTGCTATTTCTAGTATGCATATTTATGAGGCGAATGAATTTTTTAATAATCAAGTAATACCTTACCGCTTCAGTTTCTTGTGATTATTTATTTACAGTTTTAGATCTACACTGGTGAAATAAATTAAGAGAATTTGCATATTATGAAAAGAACTGAACTGAATATAAAACCACTGCTTCTAGATAAAAATTCAAAGCTTGTACATCAAATACGTAAGCGTGCACGCGTGTGTAGGCGGAGCCAGTAGAGAAACAGGCTTTATAAGTGCGTGTAAGTTAAGACGCATTGCGTTAGCTAGTACACCTCGGCGAATTTCTTGGTGTTATTTTGCAGGAATAGGTTAAATTCAAATTGTAACAGTAAAAATTAGTAACCACCAACGTTTAGATGATGGAATGAAGTGGTGAATTGGGAGGAGGCTAGAGGCATGCCAATCTCAGGTCCAGATTTGTAGAGAGTTCAATTTAGCGCCAAGCATCGTGTGTAACTTATGGAAACAGTTCCAGGATACCGGATAGAAAGCCTAGGAAAGGTCGTCGAAGAAACACGACGACAAAAGAAGATCGCCATTTGTCCATTATATCGAGGCGTAACACAGGGGCTACAGCTCCTCAGCTATCTCGTGACTTGTATGCAGCAACAGGAACCCGGACATCAAGGGTGACTTTTTCCAAACGACTTCATGAGAGAGGGTTGTTTGCAAGAAGACCATCTGTTTGCATCTCGCCCTTTTCTACTAACAGGAGAGTTCGTTCAGCATGGTGCAGAGAGCATAGAGATTGGAGTATGGATCGATGGGCTACCGTTCTCATCACTGATGAGTCCCGGTTCCGCCTAATTAAAAATTCTCGCCGTACGTTCATATGGAGAAAACCAGGGACCCGCTAACTACCCTCCAATGTCAGCGAAGTCGACCATCATGGCAGAGCAGGTTTAATAGTTTGAGCAGGCATCATGTTGAATGATCACACACCTCCCCATGTCTTTGAAAGAGGCTCTGTCACTGGTGTGAGGTATAGGAATGAGGTCTTGGAGCCCTATGTTCACTTTTTCAGGGCTGCAGCTGGCCCTGAGTTCATTTTAATGGACGATAACGCGAGGCCACATAAAGCTCTTCTGGTCGACGAAATTTAAAAGAGTGAGGACATTCGCCGTATAGATTGGCCAGACAGATCTCTAGACTTCAATTCTATAGAGCATGTCTGGAACGCTCTGGTGAAGTCAATTTCAACTCGTTACCACCTCCGAGAACCATTCAGGTAAAGAAAACAGAGTTGCTGAGCGAGTGGAATCAATTGCCATAGAAAATGATAAATTGCCTTATTTCAAGTATGGAATCACGTACGTTGCAAGGCCTGCATATCTGTAAGAGGGGACTATACCCCCTATTAACCCATTTTTATTTTATTCTGCAAAAGCTGTTTCATATCTTCCGGTTATAACTAGTGTTACGCTCGATCATGAGTGTATATTGCAAGTGGTGAATGGTTATTTGTTTTGTATTGTATCAATGTATGTACATAAGTACATATCAATGTATGTACATATGATAGTACAATGTATGTACATATGATAGTACAATGTATGTGCGTATGTACAATGTATGTACAAGNAAGTATTGAATGGTTATTTGTTTTGTATTGTATCAATGTATGTACATAAGTACATATCAATGTATGTACATATGATAGTACAATGTATGTACGTATGTACAATGTATGTACAAGTATGATAGTAAGCATAAACAATAATGAATAACAGGTTTAAAAATACTCAATATCTTTAATTAATTTTAAAAGCCTCATGACCTTTTAAGTTTTCCAAAAATGCACTAAGAAATATACTCTTATTTGAATGTAACCTTTCGTTAAAGAAGCTTTCGGTGACGAAACATATTTCACAGCATAATTCAGAAACCTCAAATCTCTTCCAAATAAACATAACACCATTCAGAAATTCCGGATCTAATATTATGCTATTGCATTAAATCATATCACAAATTATTTCGGTTTCAAATGTTTAGTTCTTTGATCAGCTTGTTTGAAAAGAATCACCTAAAACAATGCGTATTTGTATAGCATAGTGGTAATGATGATTAAAAATTCTTGTTATGGGAAAATGAGGAGCAGATATTGTTACTATTCATTATGTCCAATTTTGTAGGCAAAAATGAATGGAAGAATATCATATTTTTTAATGCTTTAGTTGGAAAATTTAAAAAAAAAGTGTGGTGTATGGAAAAGTATATTGCATGCTGAAAAATTTGTCCGAAACAGTTAAAACGTAGGAAAAAAACTTTTAATTGCAAGTAAAAAATGTGATAAACTAATTTCTATTCTTTTCATAATTAATATAAAATCACATCTTATATGTAAAGTAAATTCTATTCTAATTTCAATTTTGCCTCATTAAAAGGTATTTAATTATATGCACTAAAATATTAGAGAGAATGTAACACATGAAACGATGGGGTTTCACCAAATCAGATTATTTCAAGAAATACTTAAACAATGTAACAGAACAACGGTAAATAACAAATCTTTCGGGATACAAAAGAATCGTAATAATGGTAATAAGTTCTTTCTTCTTCGAGTTATATAACAACGTAAAGAATGATAAGTATGAGTGTGTGTAAGGGGTGGGAGAAATAAGTCTTCGCTCTGACAAATTAATTGCAATATTGTCTAAGATTGCTAGAATAATGTAAAAGGACCGTAAGGAGACGGTTTATTTACTG